AGTTGGCATTGTGCATAGTAACTCCATCTGCGGAGTTACAGGAACTGAGTTGTATACTCCTCCACCGACCCTGTTTGTTTGAGCTGCAAAAGTTGATCATGGATGATCTCAAATCATCACTCCAAATTCTTTTTCAATCTCATGACAAAAATGTGTCCAGCTTCTAAATGTGTGCTTTTGCTTGAAAGCTTTGGTACCATCTTCTTTGCATTATCCTTTAAATGAATTCGGGCTCATGCAGTGATCCACATGCCCTCCGGGATTTGGTACAGACTCAAAATAGCTCTGTTGATTATCTAGCCACACTTTTTGGTGAGCCATCAAAATCTGGGAAATTCATCTTGGATATAGTGTGCTTGGGTGAGGCTTGCTTGTGTCTTGCTTTGGTACTTTGCTTCCTTGGGCTCGGGCTTGATTTCAAGTCTGGGTCTTCTTGATGGTTCACCTTGGATTTGTTCTTCTATGTTGCAAACACATTACGGAAAGAGGTATGCTCATCCAACAAAGCAATGAATCCAAATCATCCTCATCAAATCTTGGTTCTTCATCATACTTTGGGCTTTCTTTGTGTGGTTTGTTGCATCTTCCATCTGCTGAGGGTGACCCTTGCTATTGCTTCCCCATTGGCATGGACTTGTTGAGCAATCAAGTGTTGTTCGTAGAGTAATCATCCATTCTTTGCATTTGTAAGATCCATCTCGAGCTTTCATTTTCTTCCGAACATCATGCATTTCATCGATTTGATGAACATCACGTCCAGATTCTTGGACAGCTGATCCCACTTTGAGCTTTCCTCTTCGAAGTCCTAGTCATGTTGTCTGGGATTATCTGTGTATGTGCTGATGGTCGAACTGGCTGTTTCTTAGGTGGAGCCGTGTTCTTTGATGGGTTGTCAGACTAGCCGAGCCAAGCACGAACTACAACACTTGCAACAGGTTTGGAAGGACTCCTCCCCTGATGTTGCCAGTGATGTCTCCGCCGCCTGGGAGTGAGGCATAACGTAGGAATTTTACACAAGGACTCGCCTTGCAACCGTTGTTCGTGGACACTCCCCCGCCTTCGTCACCCACCAATTAAATAGATCGACTCCCGGAGATTTTACGCAAGAACAAATGCCTTGTAACCCTCGTCTACTGTCTAATTGTGCAAGATGTGTGAGAAAGGAGCAAAATTTATAGTGCTCACTGTGGTTCTCGCCGCCGAACTCTCTGTTGTCGATGTAGAACCTCAATTGAGCGCCTGGTGGGCGTCGATGCAGAGCGAAATGGGTTGGGCTGCGCCAATGGGCTGTGCAGATCAATTTGTTCGCCCAAATCACCACCGTCCCTCCGGGCGCCGCTGCGGCCTGCTTTGCTCCCCAGCTCTCGTTCCTGATGCGGTGTGCCCCACTTCTCGTTCCTGATGGGTCAGATCGTGGATTCGTGGTGGAGGCAGATTCGCAGATAGGTATCGTTGGTGGACAACGGCACCGACCTGGAACTGGAAGCCATGTCTGAGCGCCTGCGCCTCGTCTCGTCGCTACAGAGTCACTGACGTCGCCGATGCTTCTGCTCTACTTCGGTTAAAGTTGAGCTTAGATTTGGTTAAATTTGCCCCCATTTTTTTAGGCACAGAAGGTGTTTGCGGTTTGATACTAAGTGAGATTTAACAGTGTTCATCTGAGTTTATAACGGCAAAGGGGACAGTAATGGCACCTAAGGGAACCAAAATTACAAACCAACAACAATGAAGTCTATAATTTTCAATGGCATAAGAGAGAAGAGTATAGAATCAATGACATTGAAGGAACTCCGTTTCTTAGATCTGTACAAGTTCAGCTAGAGTGTCCTAAATTTCCAAGGTAGTTTGGTTTCCTTCGCATGTCAATGTTTTGCTGGACCGCAGATAACACCTGCCTAATGCCTATTGTCCTTTACAAGTCCTAGAACAGGAAGATGATTTGTCAATGACAGGCACGAAGAAAGGACACATGTGTAATGTAAGGCAGGGATATGAATATATTTTTAGCTTCTTGTGTTTATACTTCTAGTTTCACAAGAATTTTTGTCAACTAAACGAAATGTATTATACTTTTATACCTTCTGTGTTGTTTTCTATATAATGACACATTATCTACTTAATAATTACACACAATCTAGCCCATTGAAATTGATGGTTATTCAGCTAAACATGATTCAGAGTTAACAAAAATCAGGCAACTTGGACATAACGAAACCATATTCTTGGAGAGTGATGTTACCACCATCCAAGCACGGTACCTAAAACAAAAGAGAGGATTTTCGATGAACAAGCAGGAGATTTATTATTTTAGTTCACTGTTAGGGAAAAGGGTAAGAGTGGTAGATGGAGCATTATTATTGTCAATTTTGATTCCAGGGTCAGGATGGGGCCAGCACTGAGTTTCTATTACTGACATCACACCGGGGAGGCAAGCACTAACCTCTGAACCTGCTGCCTTCCACTCATCTTTCTGCCATCCTTGATTGCAGTCCTTCCTCCCCAAAGGTATGGGGCTGCGGCTCACTGTTCCTTCTTTAATTCACTCATGTAGTCATGTATTAGGTTTTTTCTCTTTGTTTTTGTGTACCAATCATGTGGCAAAAGCCTGTGTGCATCTTCTTGATTTTTGCCGATCCCTAGGTGGATGACCATGTTAGATGCTGCTGCAAATCTTGAATGCTCCCCAACTGTAAGCAATATAAAAGGCATTGCCAGGGGTTATCTTGAATTCAGTGGGACAACCGTTCGGTTGTGTTTCTCAGAAAAATACTTTCAGTTGTGTTGGTTTTTCTAATAAGTGGCACTTGAAGTTTACCACTTTGGACCTGACTACTTATTACGACGAGTGATCAAGTAGGAAAATCTGGATTTCCCTGTGCTTTGTAGTCCTGCAGATGCTTAGTACTCTAACTATCTCAGTTTATTTAACCTTTGCAGCAGAATAGCAGTATGTTTGGCCCTCGCTTAGATATATGTGTCTGAAAACTTTGGTAGCAGTCTTACTTGTCCTTAAAGATAGAGAAGATATTAATTCAAAGTTTAGAAAGAGTAGGTATTATGGGTGCATCTTATTATTTATATATGGGGAACATCTCTGGTGTACATTGGAATATTCCCTTACTAAGTTTGTATGATTGTGACATAGGAGTGGTAGACATCAGAATATTGAAGAGCGGCATGCATTTACATGTATTTAGCATGTCAGCGCACTTCTGAAGAATGAACTGTGATGAATAGCTGAACAGATTGAGTTCTGTTTCAGTAGTGATGAGTAGGAAAGGGACTAGATCTGAACAGCGATTTCAGAGTCATTTTAATTTTCCCGTTTCCCCTTTATTGCCCAATGTTGATTACAGATCAAGAGTAGAAATCCACTTTTCTGCCTTTTGTTGTCTGTGCTTTATTGTGTAGCTCTTGCCAGAGTCACCACAAAGTTATGAACTACAGTAATTATTTTTGCACTACACAAATAATACACTTAAAACTGTAAATTGGAATGTGATGTAATCACTTAAAACATATGTGGATCAATTAGTCAGTGTGTCCTTTTACGTTTGATGGTTTGTTTCAAATATTTTTGAAATTTTGTTTCGTCTGATAGTTGAAATTTTTAGTTGCAATACTAGAATCTTCTGACTTCATTGAAACTGATTCATAAATTTTTTAGTTCACTTCAATATCTAGATGCTAGTTTTGTAACTTGGTACTTTTCATTAGTACGTATGCATCTGGTAGTTTGGTTTTATCCTACATTTGCATTTCTAGGAGGGTTCAATTGTTTTGGTTAAATGAACATGTCCTACTGTTTCTTAAAAGGGTTGTGAGGGGGTACAGTTGGCAAAGATGAGGCATCGGAAATTTTACCCAAAAATAGTAGTTTGGCCACGCTTGTTTGGTTATCTTAAATCTTCTTCTGATGCCCAATATCTAGAGAATCCTCCTGATCTGTTGTGCACACTTAGAGAAAAATTGTATTGTAAACTTCAGATCAATCTACTTTGCTTAACTCTAGCATCTACTGGTTTTGGACTAGTTTGAACAGTTGAGGAACAATGTATAGTGGTAACATCCATTCCAAATAAAAGGCTAGAAGTGAAATGACTATACTAGAGTTTTTATTTTTGAAGCTTGCAAGTATCCTAAAGTTCCATAGTCCAAATTGAAATGATGTAGTGCCTGCACTGAAAAAGGAACCTCTTTTGGCTATTTTTCTGAATTTTCTAAACCAATGTATTGCTGTAATAGATATATTTGCAATGTAAGAATGACCTTTTTAACATGTTAATGTAGCCGAATGGAGGATAATCTACCAGTTAATGTCCGGGAATATAAAAAACTCGCCAAGAAAGCACTACCAAAGATGCACTATGATTATATCAATGGGGGAGCAGAGGATGAGTATACACTGAGGGAGAATATTGCAGCATATGGAAGAATTCTGTACTGTTCACCTCACCAATAATTTGCAACCTCGTTAAAAAGTGGTTCCTTCCTTTTCAGCGTGTATTACAGATGGTTACGGCCACAGGTCCTTATAGATGTGAGCAAGATAGACATGTCAGCAAGCTTATTAGGATATAATATGCATCGCCAATAATTGTCGCTCCTACAGGGGCACAGAAATTAGCAAATCCAGAAGGTACAAAATCAAGTCATCCAAGTTTTAAATGATGAAACCTGCTACTCCACAACCCTTGGTTAAATGTTCATTCCAGGGGAGGTGGCCATAGCAAGAGCTGCCGCAGCATGTATGGTTTTTTGGGGGTCATCTGGTGATGTCCTCGTATTTAGGCCCTATGTAGATTGTTACACATGTTCATATATGTCATACAGGTGCTTTCCTTGTCATCAAGCTGCAGAATCGAGGAGGTTGCCTTCAGCTGTGATTCCATTCGCTTTTATCAGTTATATGTATGATGCGTTCGCATTGATCTTTTTTTTAGTAAATTCCCCTTTCTGCTGCTACCTGATTTCTGAAAAAAATTCGTTGTGTACCTTAGATGTGCAAGAGAAGGGATGTTTCGGCAACATTGGTACGGCGGGCTGAGAGTTTAGGATTCAAGGCAGTTGTTTTGACAGTTGACAGGCCTGTGCTTGGTAGGCGTGAAGCTGACATCAGAAACAAGTACAGTGCTTGTTATCTTTGTTGAAATCTCCTAAAATTCAGTGAAATTATGTTCTTTTACAAATCATAATTCCAGTTTCCTAACCCATTGCTACTGAAGGTTAAATTCCAAATTATAAGACGTTTTTGGCTTTTCTAGATATATGCACTTAGATATACATTTTGTCTAGATACATAGTAAAAGCAATGTATGTAGAAAAACAAAAACGTCTTATAATTTGGAATTGAGGTAGATCGTCAATACATTTATGCAGAGCATTGCAACAGCTTCAACATCACTATGTTGCCAAATTTTCCCTTTTCTTTTATTTTGGGATGTTCTGTAACTGAGCTGATTGTTCATGCAGGATGATTGCTCCACGGTTTGTAAACCTTGAAGATTTAATGTCATTAGACAACGACATTGACAGTGCTGTGAGTGACATTTGCTCGATAAATTTAGAGCTACAACAATTCGTTCACGTACAGTGGACGAACTCCTTTTCTTTCTGAAAAACTGAACCATTATCGTCTTGCAATCTCGATCATGTTGTTAGGAAGGCGGCTCCAAGCTGGAACGATTCTCATGGGAGACGCTGGATCCATCATTGTCATGGAAGGTATGTACAGATAACACATAGCAGACTGTAGTCGTGCCATAAACTTTCTTGAATCTTGAGTTCCATAGCATGTGGTCTGTCACCCACAGTACTGGGCAAGCATGGGTAATGAATAACTAGCATAATATATTATCCGCGTTGGATTACTGGCATGCATGGTGCTGAACCGGAGAACTGGTATGGTCACTGTATGTGTCACTGAACTCTGATGACTCCGGCGGCATTGGGCAGCGAGGAAGGCCATGGAGGCGGGGGTGTCCGGCGTGATCGTGTCCAACCACGGCGGCAGGCAGCTGGACTATGCGCCGGCCACCATTCTGGCCGCCGGCCGGCCGACCACATTTATCCTCCTGACCCGCGCCACGCGTTTACCCGATCGCTGCACGTGTGGCATGTGGGACGCAGTCAGCGTTCGGGCGTGCTGTTATTGCGACCTGCGGCGGTGGCAGGCCGTATACTGACAAAGGACCGCCGGGGTCGGGTGTCGTACGCTGCATTGCAGGTGGTTAAGGCGGTGGAGGGGGCCGTGCCGGTGCTGGTGGACGGCGGCATCCGACGGGGCACCGACGTGCTGAAGGCGCTGGCGCTCGGCGCCAAGGCAGTCATGGTACGTATGCCGCTCCTCTCCGAGTCCGAGCAAGGACTCTTTGCAATTGGGCATGCACGGGCTGTTCCCCCTGTTTCGGAAGAGGAACCGAACCGTGGACAGTTCGTTCGTTCTGACGAGGATGAGCGCGTGCGTTTGCAGGTGGGGAGGCCGGTGTTGTACGGGCTGGCGGCGCGCGGGGAGGCCGGCGCGAGGCACGTGATCGAGATGTTGAACGAAGAGCTGGAGCTGGCCATGGCGCTCTGCGGCTGCCGGAGCGTCGCGGAGGTCACCAGGGCGCACGTCCAGACCGAGGGCGACGGGATCAGGGCCCTGCTGTGACCCCGCCACCCATCCGGACGGACGGACGGACTTCCTGAATCCATATACAGGAGTAAGTACTACAGAGTCCGACCATTGTGGTCGCTGTGAATGTGAGGGTATGTGATTGACATTGATTGCTGCCTCCAGAAATAAGCTTTGTGCGTCGCCAATATAAGATCCAACTTAGAGCTGGTTTAGTTCCTCACCTTAAAGTTTATTTCCTATCCCATCGAATGTTTAACACATGTATGGAGTATTAAATATAGACTAAAAAATAACTAATTGCACAGTTTGCGACTAATTTGCGAGACGAATCTTTTAAGCCTAATTAGTCCATGATTTGACAATGTGGTGCTACAGTACATATGTGCTAATGATGGATTAATTAGGCTTAATAAATTCGTCTCGTGGATTACTAACGGGTTCTGTAATTTATTTTTTTTATTAGTATCCGAACACCTCATACGACACACCCTCATGTGACACCAATGTGCCTAAAATTTTACACCTTGGAATTAAACGAGGCCTTACTATTATTAGAACCTGATGAGCTGGATTAAGCTTTGAAGCTACCCACAAACATCACAAAATTGAACTCGTAACGCGTGTTGTAAGGGCGTGAACAGAGAAATAACATCAGCCTTCTAGAAAGAGATGTCACATACTTCTATGATCTTTTCTGACGTGGAAGAGAGAGAGAAATGTTGTCTGGTATCTAACCATCTGCAGCATGTTCGCTTGCTCGTAAACGATCGTAAATTTCTAGCCGGGAACAGTGTTTTTCTCTCACACCAAACCAGCCAGCAGTAAATAATCCACGATACGATACGGCCTCCCGAACAGGCTGCTGGTTGAGAGCACGAGTGAAATCTTTATAGACAACACCTTTTCCATTTAGAATTTTTGAACGACCTCATATGTTGAAATGGTCTACACCATAGTATAATTCTCAATGCCATCGACAAAAAATGTGGTCGACAATTTTTTGATGTGAAATCGTTTGAGTTTTAAATGCTCATTTTTATTTTCTTTGATTGGAAATTACAAATTTAGAATTCTCAAATGACATCGAATGCTGACATGTTGTATATTGAAGTTGTGGTGCTCAATGTGATCTACCACTTTGCAGTTGACATGTTTTTTATTTTAAATTATTTAGAGCACTAAATATTCATTTTTAAATTATCGTAATTGAGATTCATTCAAATTTTCGAACGTTCTCAAATTATTCAGTGGGACACGTTTCAGTTGCGCTTCGTCAGGACAATAAACCTTTCAGTTATGGTGTGGAGTCCAATTGACATGCTTGTGGATTGGTCCTAGCTTAGATATATGGGATGTCTGAAAAGCTTAGTATTTATCGACCAATACATGCATGTCTGCAAACTTTAATGACTACAAAGTGCAAAACTTATCTTCATCAGCCAGAAGTCTTCTGTTGATGTTGACGCTCTGATTTCTGGAAATTTTCGTTGTGTAGAAGAGAGAAGGGATGTTTCAGCAACATTGGTTCGACGAGCTGAGAGTTTAGGAGCTGACATCAGAAACAAGTACAGTGCTGATCAAAGTGATTTTGTTTCTCGAGGTTTCCTGAAATTCAGCGAAACTATGTTCTTTATGTCATAAGCTACTATCTTCCTGTGTCAACATATCATGATCATCAATGCATTTGTGTACGTAGCATCTCAATAGCTTGAACATCACAGCGTTGCACGAAAAAGAACAAAAAATCCTCCTCTTTTATTTGCGATTCAGTGTACGGTGCACCTGAGCTGGTTGTTCATGCAGGATGATCGCTCCAATGTCCCCAAACCCTGAAGGTCTAATGTCGTTCGACGACGATCTTGACGCTGTGAGTGAAACACTTGCTCCATATATACAAGCGGTTCATCAGAAGTACAGAAGCTTGTTCAATCATAGTGGGTGTGGGTCGTCTCTATTTCCTTTCTGGAAGACTAAACCACAGTCATCTTGATGATAACCAAGGAGGAAGGCGGCTCCAAGCTGGAACGGTGGGCGCGCGAGACGCTGGACCCCTCGTCGTCGTGGAAGGTGCGTACAGCGCAGCCGGTGGCCGTGCCATCATAAACTTCTTGAACCTTGAATGCCCTAGCATGTGTGCAGTACTTGGCAAGCATACGGACCAGTTATGGGTGCCAAGGACGCGTCCGCGTCAGGCACCAGGGTCATTACACCGGATACTGAGAACAGCATACGGCTCTTAATAATATAACATACCTGCCATAAAAACGGAGCTGCCATTAGGACACTCACCTTGGGGCTGCCTGCTGCGGCCATGAATCGCTGTACCGGTGGCCATGCGTCCATGCATGGCACAGACGCACAGTAGTCTTGGCGGCCGGGCAATTATGTGGCGAGTATGGTGGTTGATGGCGTCTGTTAGTTTGTGTCCCTGAATTTGTGTGGTTGGTTGCAGGACGTGGAGTGGCTCAGGTCCGTCACCAGGCTGCCCATCCTGCTCAAGGGCATCCTCACCGCCGAGGACGGTAATGAAATCACTTCACTACCATAGTATAGTAGTATCAGCGTTGAATTGCAGAGTGACGAGGTGCTGAATCGGAGCACTGGAAACGGTAATTCCCTATGGTCACTGACTGAACTCGGATGACTCTGCGGCGGCGGCGTTGGACAGCCAGGAAGGCCGTGGAGGCAGGGGCGGCCGGCGTGATCGTGTCCAACCACGGCGCCCGGCAGCAGGACTACGCGCCGGCCGTGCTCGAAGAGGTAACACGCAGCACGGACGTTCGCACATGCAAACACAGCGCATGGACGTTCGGCGATCAGTTGCGCGATGCGGATCGAAAACTGACAGCGGGATTGACATCGCCGGGCGGCGCTGCATTGCAGGTGGTTAAGGCGGTGGCGGGGGGCGTGCCGGTGCTGGTGGACGGCGGCGTCCGGCGGGGCACCGACGTGGCGCTGGCGCTCGGCGCCACCGCAGTCATGGTAAAGAAACAACTCCAGGTCACTGAGATGGAACCGTGGCAGATTCGGACGAGGATGAGCGCGCGCGTCTGTAGGTGGGGAGACCGGTGTTCTACGGGCTGGCGGCGCGCGGTGAGGCCGGGGCGAGGCACGTGATCGAGATGCTCAACGAGGAGCTAGAGCTGGCCATGGCTCTCTGCGGTCCAGAACGAGGGCGACCAGAACATAGCCCTGTTGTAAGCCTGTGGCATTACCTGTTGTACCAGAACCTTCATCAGCTTTCAGCGAACCTTCATCAGTGGTGTACGGTGTACCACATTACAACAATGACAACTCAACCCACAACAAGCAAGCTGGCGAGACATTTGCTGCAACGAAGAGCATACAGTTCACAAAATTCGCTTAAAACAGAGCTATCCATTTGGGATAATAGAAAGGGGCCCGATTCACTCGCTGTCTCAGCAGAGTCAACAACACAAAATTGATTCTCATCTAGTAGCACGTAAAGAGTTCAAAGCTACTACTCAAGCAGTGTCTAACAACAAGTTCTGATGATAACTATTATATGCCATCAACCATGGTGATTTATTCTTTACTCCCAGTTGGGGGCAGGTGCCGCAACAGGGGCAGCGCCTTGTTCCCATCCGGTGGCTGCTGGAGGAGCCGTGGCTGCATCCCAGACACCATCAGCAGGAGGAGCTGAAATTCACATGCGGAATTGTAAGAGCCACAGGTGTATGAAACTAAACTAAACAGATAATAAATAAAAATAAAAGAAACAAACAAATGTGAACAAACATTATTGAGTATACTCTATAGTGATCTAAAGCTTCCTCACAGTTACCCATAAAATCCTATATAATGAGACTAAACAAGCAGATAACCAGGTAATAATAAAAGTAAAAGAAACAAGCAAATGTGATCAAACACTAATATGAGAAGAGTAAATCTAAATCAGTAAAGAATTACACGGTTACACATTAAAACCTATTATAGGTCAAAGGGCAACTTGTGATAAAAAAATTGTTTGCATTTTAAGCGACGCTAGAAAAACATATCAAAGATTCATATCAAATCACCTTCTAGCTTTAGAAACACAGCAAGCTACTTCTAGGCACACAAAAGGTAGAATAGAGCATCAACTATCAATAAACTGAACATCGTACCCTAAAAAAACTGAGCATGTGTAAACAGAATACTACTACAAAGATTAGAATGAATAGTCTTCAAATGCAAATCATATTACTATGAGAAGAGAAAATGGACCTGGAGCAGCAGCCCAGTCTGCACCAGCAGCTGGAATGCCAGAAGGTGGAGCTGCGGCTTCACCAGCACCCCAATCGGCGCCCCAATTATCAGCCCCTGGAGCAGCATATTCTGCAACTGCGCCAAAGTCAGGAGCAACCAGAGCCTCTTCTTCCTCCTGCTCCTTTGCTTCCTCTGGGTCCCTGTAGAAGAAAAGATCAACCTGCAAAAGAAAAACAACAAACAAGCATATGATTCGAAGCAACAAAAAGTTAAATGCTTTGTTTATTCAGGTCAGAAATTGGTAGGAATAGAACTAGTTCAGATTATATCAGTTTACCATGATGTCCCACTTGTGTCCTGGAAGAATTGTACCACGCATCTGGAGGACCATTCTGGCAAGCAGCCAGAACAGACAACCAATGCTCTGTTTCCCCTTGTTATTGGCAGGAATGCCAATATCAACATAGCGCATAGGGGAGTCAGTGTCGCAGAAGGCAATGCTGGGAATGTTTCCAAGTGCAGACTCCTTAATGGGCTGTACAAAGTTTGATAAAAGAAGATTTGTAAGTGCTCTTACAGCCTGTTCGTTTGGCTGTGGCTTGTCGTAAACGATCGTAAATTTCCAGCTGGAACAGTATTTTTCTCTCACACAAACCAGCCAGCAGTACTTCTTCACGAACCAGCAACGAAACGAACCAGCCAACCGAACAGGCTCTTAATCAACAAAGGTTTTCCTTCAAAAGATATAAGTTTTTTTACCTGATGATCAGTCCTGGGGTCAGTCAGGATAAGAAGGCGCGGCTCACTGAATGAGGTTTGCAACT